GCTTTAATCTTCACAAAACCTCAGTAGGCATTTCTACGTGAAAAAATGTTGTAATTATTCTCTGCAACCTGCAACTAATTTATAGTTTCGATTGCATTCCATTTGCATTTTGACATAAATTTTCATTTATATAGTCTCTACATTAATTTTAGTAATTAATTGTCATACGTCTCACTCAAAACGTTTACCAAATAGTCACTGTTCATAGGGAAGTTGTTTCGACCACTTCATTAGGAGGCAGGCGCGAGCTTGTGTCTTCCATCTCGAGCTTGTGTCCTAAATCAATCTTTTTGTCAGCGCGCGGACGCTCAACAAACAAAAGGCGGCAATTGAGCAATAAAACCCAGTGAACGGCAGCTCATGATTGAATGTTTAGCTGTGTGATTATTTCTCCCCCACATTCGCCTTTCTAATGACAAATATAGTTGGTAGAGTATGAATACAAATAAATACATGCATATAATAACAAACATCAGAAAAATTATAATTTTATACGCAGTAAAATATCGAAATTATAAGGTAAGAAAATACATATATTACTTTGTCTAACGTCTTACAGGCACTGATCATTGAACATGTCATATGTTTAATTTCGACCTTTTAATTCATTATTGAAAGCACTTTGCAATTATGATAAGCTTCCACTCCCCTCATTTTCCACTCGTACTGGAAGCAGTAAATGCATGTTTTGGGGTCCGTTCATTCATGTGCACTACAATGTCCGCGGCCGTATATACTTTAACGACATCTTTGACAGGCTTGATGTCTGATACATTCCTAGAGGCGACATTTTTGATACCAAGTCATTAAATAACAGACAAGATACACAGGAAAGAGGCATGATTATAATTAATTCAAATTGGTTGGGTTATATCTGCAGTTTCCAAAGTTTTCTTGAAGAACTCATGGGGATAATGAATTGATCTATAACTTGGTCAAAGAACTGAGTTAATTGTATATTGAGTTTTCCAGATCTCTTACTAGAATACGCGACATACTTAGTTGCCATTAAGCATTATGTGACCTTTCATTTGTCAATATTTTTAATATATGTATATTTTTAATCCGATCCCTTATTCCCTTAACGTCTTTATTTAACTCATTTTCAAAGACGAGTTGATTAATCAAAATTATTTACAAATTCCCAAGCCTCACCAGTATCGTCTATTACTACTAGGTACTTTTGACAAGCCTTCAGCTCTCGAAGATATTCTCAAACACCCGCTAAATAATTTTCTGTTCATTTATCATAATTATTAGTCCTGCGAATAAAGACACACTAAATTAGTGTCCAATTTCAAGAGATTCAGCACTACAAATAAAGCAAGAGACCTATTAATCTCGAAAATTTTGCAATTATGAGTTGAGCACTCAAAGTTCACAAACTTTTTTCTACTTTTTCGTCGTTTTTGTGTCAGCGCTCGTAAGATTTTTCTTAGATTTCCAAATAAAATATCCACTCTTCTATAAAATTATTTACGTCGTGCTTATTTATAATTTCAAAATTTAACCGCATGCATTTGAAATAATTGAAGGCGTGACATGAATCCGTCTAAACATATCAAGATGTTACATATGATGAAATGCATTAATTTGCAAACGAATAGCACCGATTGATAAAATTACGAATAGAACCTCGATTTCACCAGAAGTTTATGCGGCAATATTAATATATTTATATAAGGTATTAAACTTACTTATGAACTTCTGCGATATATCTTCTGAAATTACGGTCACAGAAGGTAAGACATCGCGCAACGGCACAACCTCACACTCCGACATCCACTGAGCAACTAACCGCCTAGCGCTGCGCTACGCGACCTGCAGCCCTGTCAGTCTTCATAGTCCCGACCCCGGGTGTCGTGAAAAGCTAATGCTGAATTTAACTTTATAACTAAGTATTACTTATATCAGAGGCATAATCGGCTCTTGGCGGGTAAATTGAGAAGAATCTGTAGAAATGTTCTAGTATATCTGGACGTTTCGAAAAGGGAGTCACTAGCTTTTGAGGACAATTAAGGAGGGGCGACTGACTCAAGCACGAACTCAACTTTACCGCAACCGAGCAACTTTTTAGTCCCTCAATTATGTACGAATCTGCTTGAAATTTGGAACATGACTATTTATTAGTAATTATTAAGGATTTTTGAGTTATCTAAGAAACTAAAAAATTTGAATTATCAAGGAAACTAAAAATACTAACCTTTCGAAAAATTGTGTTGTTACGTGAAGATATGTTAGGTTAGGTTAACTTTTTATGCTATGATAGGTTAGATAACTATGATTGCATAACAAACGGCCTAATTTAACCATACCTAACCTAACCTTAAACTAACCTCACCGAATTCTTTGAAGGTTTCCTTTAATCAAAACGAAAAAGTTCACAAAAATCTGCCAAAATTCCAATTTCAACGTATAATATTCCAATTTCGGCGATAATATTCTAACGAGGCTCGCAGGAGCGTATATTGTAACTAAATAGCTTAGTTACAATTTTGATCCAAATCGGTCCTGATTTGACAACTTACGCACGGAAAACCAGCTGTAAAATTCGTCTTAAAATTCGTCCCAAGAGTGTCAGAGCGTTTCTTTTCAGAAGAATGTCCATCATATGTTTCATTAGATTTCTTATACTGAATATGGTAATCCGGAGCTCGCCGGATCTGACTTGAAATTTTCGCCGATCGTTGGTAGCGGCATGCGGTCGAAAACGAAAATCTAACATGCGTTGCGGTGCCTAGAGAGAGAGAGTCGGAGGAGTTCATTCAGAAAACATATTACAATTAAGCTCTGTGATTAAAGTAATTCTTATATACATCACAAGGCTTCACCCTCTCACTGAATTAAAGTTTTCTGAATACAACACTTTTAACTGTGTAGTATGAATTTTTATGAATATTTATAACTTTTGCTTCACAATGACCCACGAAAAACCAAAAAACCTGTAGAAAATACATAGAAGCGATTGGAATGCTGTTGGAAAAATCTTTGTATTAAGATGCCTCGGAAACATGAAATGTTTGCAGAAACGTGTAAAAAATGCAGGGATAATTTTTTTTAAAGTCGTATTTTTTTTTCGACGTTCCCGTAAACCTTTGGTTTCGACGTTCCTCTGCTGGGTGAAAGACACGCATACGTTACAAGCCCCGGAGACGTCAGAGACATGTCTCTTGCCTACTTTATTCCTTTAGGCTGGACTGTTACTTACTCTTAAATTCCCCCAATTATTTCTTTTCATACACCAGGTAGTGATATTCAATGATTGAATTTTTAGTTAACGTTTTATCAAGCTTGAATTTGTTTGTCTGCAAGTTGGTTGTACGAGACTTGTCATGGTTGACCGAGCCTGCCATGCAACGATCACGAGAGCTTAAATAATGTAAATCGTTTCCTTGTAGTCAACGTCTTCATTTGCTCCTAAAAATTCTATTATTAATATAAATTTACATTTCTTTCTGTATGATATTCACGGCTCAAATATTCAGATATTATATTGCTGGAAAAATCCGCACTATTTTGGTACCCAACTAGAGTCCAATTTTCTATAGGTTGCAGTTGAGTTTCACATAATCATAAGTCAATAAGTCATTATATTCTAAGAAGAAAAAGAGTGAATAGCAATTCCACGGCTTTACAGTCTCCATGTGTTTTTTAGGTTGGTACGAGTATATCATATGCCCACCGTTAAAGATTGTGATGGTCTAAGCTATCCGAGACAAAAATGCCGCATGTACCTGTGATGCTCACTGCAAAAGTTTGCTGCGCATCACAGATGGGTGGGTAATATATTATGACTCAGCACTCTTTTTTTTCAATATAGATGACATTTATATTGAGTCACAACATGGATGAAAACCTGATCGTAAATTTTGCGGAGCTTGGCTTCTCAGCAGTTGTGTTTCAATTTTTTCTATAACGCATTTATTTAGTATAACGCATTTTTTATAACACATTTTTGCTTGACTCGAGTTCATTCAGAAAATTAACGTTTCATGGGGTCCAAAAAGTGATGCCCTCTCTGCGCCTACGTGGCACTCACAGAAACTCTGATTTATCTGGCCAAACCGGGTCAGAATGACCCATGCTAGATTTTTTTATATTTTATCACGAAGGCGTCCAAAGGAGGGGAATGTAAGAGAAAATTTGTGAACGTCAACCATTTTACTTTTTTCTCATATTTTGTTGTTTTCTAATCAAGGTCCACAAATGTACAGAACATAAACATTTCCATATGTTGTACTTAAATTTTCAAGGAAAACAACGATTCAATATATTTAACATATTTATTCGTTATCATGTATAGGATGCAGCAACATTGCTTGTTGACATCTCTCTCTAACTACATATTAACACGCAAGTCATGTTACTGCACAAAATATAATATCGGTGAGAACCTATGTACGAAATAGAAACATATAATATTCATTAATTTAAAAATTTCAACGATTGAGAATAATTAATTGATGAATATCGAGACCCGCACTAAAATCTTTACTACGCATATAGTGATTGGAGACGCCACAAGCCCCGGAGACGTCAGAGACGAGTCTCTTGCCTACTTTATTCCCTCAGGCTGGACTGTTACCTACTCTTAAATTCTCCCAATTATTTCTCTTCATACACAAGGTAGTGGTATATTCAATGATGGAATTTTGATGGCGGCTGTGATACTAACTATCTTACTAAATTTCTAACATTTGTCTTTTATTCAGCGCCGTGTTAAATTATGAGTATTTTTTATTAAGAATCCACATTTCAAGAATTTTTCTGAATCTCTCCAAAAATTGTAACATGAATAGTTTAAAAATTCTTTTGAAATACCCAACATATACATATAATGATAATTTTTGATCACATTAAAAAAAATATAACTCAGTACTCACTGCAGTGAGTGACAGAGAGCGCATTTTCTCGTCGACGAAAACTTGAGGTCACGGACGGACGGACGGACAGACGGACAGGCTGACAGACAGACTGACAGACAGACGGACATGGCAAGCACAATAGTGCATTTTTTCCATAAATGAGAAAATGCGCTAAAAAGACAGTATTAAAGTTGCAAAGAGCAAAGTGCACCTCTTGATATTTGCTCACTCAACCCAACACTCAGAAAAATGAACGCGTCAACTTGCCTCAATATTGAGTTACACACTTTCCTACCCACAGCACGAGCAGAGAGCAGAAGTAGCATCGATTAGCCCTTTATACGTGCGGACAAACTGGGTCAGGACGACCCACATGCACACGGGCAAAAAGTGTACTGCTATTTGGCCTAAGCCCACTCACTTCTCTGAGCATTTTTCTGCGTATGCATTGTCTTCAAACTCTGCGTACCTAAAGGCGAATGAAACGATAATTACTGACAATAAAATCTAGATTAAAAGGTGGACACTCATGGATGGCTGATCAAAAGCCTGTCGCTCACGGAATAAATCAATGCTGATCTCAGTGCTTACATTCTGCGCTCGAATTATTTATTCACAGAATCATTGTGAGACTCGTATGAAGAGGTCGAGTTAGTCCGTTTATATCCCGACAATGTAGGGGCAACGCTTGAAAATGCTACATCATCTCAGTGAACTGTTCGATATCATTCTCATTAACGATTAGTAGAACTTCACGCAATGATGACATGGGATGTTGATTCACATGATTCACATGGTAAGAATCATTTCGTGTGTCGTGATATTGTTCATTAAAATCAAGAATTGATAAATTGCCCCAAGAATTGTTAGATTTCTCCAAGAATTGATAGATTACCCCAAGAATTGGTAAATTACCCCAACAATTGATAGATTACCCCAAGAATTAATAGATTACCCCAAAATTGATAGATTAACCCATAAAATTGATAGATTACCCCACGAATTGATAGATTGCCCCAAGAATCGGTAGATTCATGGCAATTGATTTGATGGGTCTTCATGTTTTTCAATACCTGAAGAAGAATCTTGAGATATTTTTCGGGCACAAGGCAAGTTAGAATCACATAGTGAAATGGGACTCATATAATTATGAAATTTGTGGGGTGAAAATCCATGATTCAGAGAGTCATTAATATTTCTGGGATTTTTGTATGATTGACATACTGTGCTGTCTGATGAAATTGTTAAACATCCATCCTGGTTGTAATGATCCGTGCTAAATTTACGGTCATCGCTAATTACAACGACAGAACGCCGAGCAAGTGGTCGTGCTGAATAATCATTTTCACTGTCATTAAAATCAAACGCACCAGAATTGTGGCGCACTTTCGACGAATAATCTTTGCGAAAAACCTTATCTGGAGAGGGAGGAATATGAGAAACTAATGAATAGAAGCGAGCTGAGCTGTTACTTCGTCTGTCATTTGATGGAGAAATTGATGAAGTGCGAGAGAATGGCAGACGATAGGAAACGATAAGTTCAAGAAGCTCGTTCCAACATTTGTCACTCCCCCAGTAAATTTTTATTGATTCAGAAATAATTAATCGGATATCTTCTTTTAGTAAAGAATCTGGAATGTCATCAAGGTACAGAGAAATTATTGAGTTGTTCAAAGCACGAAACCCATCGATGTGGCTTTCAGCGAAGTTCTTCGACTTCCATTCGTGTTCCAACAAATTTTTCGTCACCACAATCATCGATCGACAGCTGTTGGATATATTCTTCTTCGTCAAGAAAATATTTAAACTTCCTCTTGAACAAAATGATTCAGGATTCGAACTCAAAAATATTTTTGTTAAGGGACTGACTTCTTTGAAACGCGCTACTAAAACGTCACGTACGAAAGGTAAGTCTTCCGAACTATGACACACATATAAATCAAAGTACTCAGAATCACCAGAATTCTTAGTGGAATACGGAAGACTTTTAAACTGGTTAACCTTGCTAGTGCTATACCGTAGTCGATATACAAATACTAACATCAGGGTAAACAGCACCACTGCAGTGCCACAACAACAGGCTATAATCACGCCTAACGCAGAAGGTGTTAGCCAAGTTATATTCTCTAGTTCTTCTATGCAATTTTCTTTAACGATCGCAGAAATGTGGCTTAAATCAAAATAGTTTGAGCAGATGATGCTGTTCTTAAACTCGAGTTTGTTTTTGTGCTCATTGATAAAAGAATCATACAAAAATATGAAATTGCAATCACAAATTATAGGGTTATTTAACAATGAGAGATATATTAGATGCTCATTAACTGTTAAAGCCGAAATAGAGAAAAACGAAAGGAGATTACTGCTTAAGTTTAAAACCTTCAAACTATTTAGTCCAATAAAAGTAAGGTTAGAGATAAAAGCAAGTTTGTTATCACTAAGCAATAATGATTTGAGATGTGAAAGTCCTGAAAATTCAAAGCCAGTAAAATGGGTAAGCTCGTTTTTCTCAAGATGAAGGGTTTCCAAAGACCGCAGTCCATGGAAAGTGCGATTTCGTAGAGAGTGGATGTTCGAAGAATTTAAATAAAGCGTCCGTATGCTATGTCGTCCTATGAAGTGCAAAGCCGGCAGATCCTTGAAGTCGTTACCGTCGAGATAAACGATAGTGGCGTCCATGGGCAGTCCGGGAGGTAGGTTTCGTAGGGCCAAGTGAGAACAGTCCACCAGATTTGTGGTCCATGTGTGGTCACGGTAACATGAACAGTTGTGTGGACATTGCATTTGACAGTCACATGCTATGAAATCACAACACTGACACAAGGCAAAGCAATGCGTTGTGTATGGACATAAGAAATTCTCTGGAACCGTTTCCGACAAACGTATTGAGACGTTGAGGTTCTTTTCGTTACCGTGCACGTGATGCAAGGAGCAGGAAGATATTGCTCCATCCACGATGTGGAGGGAAGAAGGTTGAAGTTGTTTTGAAGAAGATTGTTTTTTAAATACAGACGAGGATTGAATCCAAGTCATTTCACAATCACATACCAATTCGTTGTTGTAGAGGAGTACTTCTAAAGGAGTAGAGTATTCCTGAACTTGTTTGTCCTTAAGCGGGAATGGGTTGAGCTGTCGTACGTTGTTGTGACGAAGGTCAAGATAACGTAAGTTGAATTTTTCCTGGAATGTCGTTGAGCTTACGAACTCTACGGAGTTGTTACGAAGCACGATTCTTTCGATGGCGTTCGGTAATGACAGCCGAGTGAGGCTTTTGAGTTCGTTAAAGCTTACGTCAAGTTCAGTGAGTTGTAAAAAATTGTGGACTTTATAGAAATTTCCGAGATGACGAATTTGATTTGATTTTAGATTTAATTTAAGTAATTGTCTTGGTAGAAAAGCGTAGTCAAATGAAGCGATCTTATTATATGAAAGGTCGAGAAATAATAGCTTCTCCATCCCCGCGTATAGACCATTCATGTTAGTGAATGAATTATTAGACATGTGCAAACTTTCGAGATTAGCAAGAACGTCGAAAGTTTGTTCGTTGACTTTTTGTATTCCGTTACTAGAAAGATCTAACGATTTCAATGATTCCAGGCCTGTGAATGAAAATGAACTTATCATCGATATTAAATTATAACTTAAATTTAGATTCAGTAAGTTGGTCATGCCACCGAAAGAAAAATTCCCCAGAGAAATTATTTTGTTTCGACTCATATCAAGGGTTCGCAAGAACGACAGATCCGAAATAGCGGCAGGAATTTTTTCCAAAAAATTCCCGGACAAGTCGAGATCTTTGAGGTTTGCAATGCTCTGGAAAAGCCCTAAGCTCATCTCCTTCAGCTGATTGTTTCTCAATGTAAGTGTTGAGAGTCCAAGAAGTCCGTAGAAAGCGGCAGGTCGTAAAACTATTAAACTATTGTGGGAGAGGTCAAGTTCGTATAGGTTGACCATGTTGGAAAAAGTCCCCGCTTCTAATTTCGTCAAGAAATTGTGAGACAAGTCCAACTTCTGCAAGGAACTTAAACCTTTCAAGGAAGCCGACCGTAGTTCGTCGATACGGTTAAATGATACATTTAAAATGACCAACCTTCTTAACTTTGCAAAAATTGACCTGTCAGGTCCTTTGAAATTAAAAAAATTATTCGACAAATCTAGAATTTGAAGTTCTTCTAGTGATGAAAATGATCTTCCATCGAAGACATGCAAAAAATTATGATTAATAAGTAGCTTTCTAAGAACAATATTTTCAATAAACAAGTTTTCATGGATAGACCTTAACTTATTGTGTGAAATTACAAGAGTTTCTAGCGCTTCAAGGCCTTGAAAAGAATTTTCTTCTAACTCTTTAATTTTATTGTGGCTGATGTGTAGTTCCTTTAACGAAGTGAACTCTGCGAACGCTGATCCCGACAAACGCTGGATTTCGTTGTGGCTTAGATCGAGATAACGTAAGGCTTCTGCGCATCCTCTGGTCCCAGCGTTGACTTGAATTGTTTTTTTATTCGGATCAATTTTAGTGTCAACCCTCAACTCGGATTTCTTCGTTAAATTATATAGATTTTTAATTCCGCGTAAAAAATCATCATTGATTGCGCAGTGGGTGAGTCTCAAGTCAGCTAAGCTATTTATTCCACAAAAAGAGTTTAATTTAACATATCTTATCCTGTAATGTGAAATATGAATATGTTCTAAAGATCTCGGTAGATTATTTTCGTTTATATCTAACGAACTGCAATATTCAAAGTGTTTTTCACCGAGGAAAGAATGTTTTCGGGGAAATTTTGCATTTGAAGTTTGTTCGGTCATCATGCTCTCTTGTCCACCCATCAAATTTTGACGGGAGGCGTCGTGTCGGCCACCCAAAAAATTTTGATGGGCAGCATCGAAAAGGCCCCCAATATATTCTTGATGGGGGGCATGGTTTAAGGGGGTCATAAAATTTTGATGGGGGACATCGACGGCTGTAACGTTGTATGGTGAAGTGCCCCTCTCTCGTAGGGGCCGTTGACGCTGCAGCTGCAGGCGACGTAGCTGGGGCGGCAGAACAACGCTGTCCAAAGATCGCAACTCGCAGTTCGTCACACGAACCGACGAGACCGATGGAATTTTCTGTGGAAAAAAATACATAAAGTTTGCCGTTTCTGCGAGAAATAATTATAGAGTTTGAAGGCATCTGAAAAAATTGCTAGCCTGATTCCATATAAAGTCTGATCAAGCTCATGTAGTAATTTTTTCAATAAAATTTATGGTAAATGAACATGTATTTTCTTATCGATTAAAGCAGACGCATGATCTAAATACACGATAGACATTCTTTATACATGGAAGTTCCATTTTGAAAATTGAATTATAGCGAAGAAATTTATGTATAGCGAAGAAGTTGGATGACGTAAGCAATTCACGAGAAACAGTTCTGCTGCGAAAGTAGCGTTGTTTGTCGCAGTGTATGGATTATTTAATATTATTATTTATATAATTACGCTAACTTTACAATGATTGAGTTCGGGAGCATTACGAATTGGAGCCTTTCAATGGTATGGGTATAATTAATAATTACTGAAAAAATCAAATTGCAGATGCTCAAGAAAACCAATTTAATCAAAATGCTTTCATGCCCATGATATTTGATTTACAAAATATTCAAACATAAGTATGATGCGAATGAACCCTTATTCAATGCCTAAATAATTTGAGTTCATAAATTTACGTATAGATATTTGATAGTGATAGCGTTCCGCTAATAGTTGTTCACAAATTCTCTTCGAGTTTCTCATCATTATTATCAAAAAATCATCATTATCAAAAAATGTAAGGAATTATGAATAAAATACGAGTATTTAATGTAAACAATCATGGATATTTAAAGCGCATAAAAAAGCTAAATAACATTCAGGCGAAATAACTTTCAAATTTCGTTGGTGGCCCCGAATAAAAAATTCCCAGGAAAAATTCGGGGGCAATTCAAGAAATTCTTGTAATTCTCGCAAGCATTACCTCCAGTATAAAACTGATGATACTCTCATGTTGGAGCTGTAGACTTGAAATTAGTTTCTTGTCACTTCGACATCGCGGAGACGTATGGCCGGGGTCCGCGGTAAATGAAGATGGGCTGATCTCGCTAATTTTCTCTTCATGGTCTTTGGTCTTCAGAACCTGAGTGTTTTGGTCAGTGGAATAAACGCAGGTCATAGAAACTTCTTTCACTTCAGCCTTATTGCCGAAAACATTTCCTGGCGGCGGGACAAAGCGGTGGGACGAGTTCCAGCTCCAGAGAGGTGAAGTTGTTGGGAGGTCTCGGTTGGAGTTTAGGTTGTCGGAAAATGATAGAGTTTGTGTGTTTGTCTCAACAATTGTGTGGCTTGAATAAGTCTCTATATTTGAACCTTTGATGTGTGGGTCAGAGTTTTTGTCGCTATATTCGCGTAAAAACATTTCGGCCGAAGTAGAACTTTGGCTCCGATTTATAAAGTCGGAAAAATTAAAAGAGTTTTTTGATGTCCTGTCAAAGTCACTAGCGTTTGATGCAAATTTGTTATCGTGGTTCACGAATATCAGGCAATGTAGCTTTTGGCCATGAAGAGAGCACCGAAAACTGCTTTTTCCTGACATATGAGATGTTAATTTCTCTTGTGCAGTCGTAGCGCCATTACTGGCCGCCACTGCGCCTAAAAGGAGATGTAGGAACACGGCCCTCATGGTCCGTAGAGTAATGGCATCATCGTGCCCGGTAACAAAAATTGGTCCATGCCTCGTATTTATTAGTTTCGTTCATGATTAGCGTCATTTTACTGGAAAAATATGCAGCATAAATATATTTCAGTGATGTTTACGCATTAGAATTGTAAATTCCGTATAAGTTTATGAAATAATTCCACAGAAAAACTTTACTCGCTTCCGAAAGCAGTCCAACTACGGAATTATCTACGCTGACATCTTTTATTTTGAGTGCGTATTATGAACAAGGTGTTATTCTACTCCTTCGGAAATCAGTTAGGATTTAATATTTCAGCAAAGCACTCTGAGAAAGATCTGAAATTCAAGACATGCTTAGCTTATGATCATTTACATTATATTATTTCCATTCATTAGTGCTAGAATTATTATAATACGAAATATTTAAGTCATGAAATATATGTTCGGTGTCGTCTGTCTATTAGGTCGCTTTTATTGCTTCCTTTTACTGTCCTCAATTCAGCATCAGCAAGGGTTCTCGATTGGCCATCTTTTGCAGTTCGCAGTTTATTAGCTGTTTCAGTTTCTGATTCAATTTGAACACTGATCATTAGTTTGAGTTCTTGAACGGTCATCAGTTGGAATTGTCAATGAATTATCAGTTTTAGTTCATGAGTAATTATCATTTGGAGTTCTCAGTTGATTAGAAGTTTTGTTCTTGATTGATCATCAGTTGGAGTCTTGAATTGGTCGGCACTTGCAGTTGGCCAGCATCTAGAAAGGACAAAAAAAAAATTTAGCATTTGGTGATTCCGATCCCTACAAGTTAAGTAGCGAGAACTAACAAAACGTATTAAATGTATTTTTTGTCTGCTTTTCATAACCCACTATTTGATGTCTGAAAAATATTATTCTGATCGTCTACTTTTAACATAGCTATTTGCACTGTACACTCTATGGAAAAACATACAGTTTCTGTCGGTATATGACTATACAGTGTATGACTCTACGGAGTTTGACTGTACAGTGAATGACTGTACAAGAACTGTACTGCGTATGCATGTTCTATACATGTAAGAGGATAATTTCTCTGCGGTGCGCACGAAGTGCGCACCGCATGCAAGTTTACATACATGCAGCAAGTTTACATGTATTTCAGTTCGAAAGTCTGTTTAACGGAAATCTCCCTCATCGGCCGCTGCTCGATGAGAAATAATTTAATCCATTGATGAATGGGGGTGGGTGCCCTGCGATGTGTACAGGTCTCACTCCAAAGAGGGTGAGAAGGTAAACAAAATTAGTTATTCATTAAAACTCATTCATAATTCTGAGTTTTCAATAACTCATGTTGAACGAAGCGGCTTTGCTAAAGAAATTCTTCGCGCTTCGAGAGCACTTTGGAGTTTTAAAGTGAATGATTTAATCCTGAAATAATTCATTCGACTGGATTATTTACTATTAATGACTAAATAAAGATTTTCCTAGAAAATTAGCATAATAAGTCGAAAATTGCTTCTCTGCATTAAGTGCTTCAGTTTTATTTCCTTGAATGGAAATATCTGGCGTAAGCCTATGAAAATCCCGGTTTTTAACGCAAATCGTGAGTGCAGTTTTCTGAAAATATAAGTATTTTCCATGTTTAAAACCCAAAACTACATATCTGGAAGAAAAATTTCGTAAGCAAAGCTATATATATTCAATTGGCAGTGACAAAAATATAATCAATTATATAAATATATACTTTTTCAATTGGCAGTCATTTCGGAAAATGTTTCCCAACATCAGCAACATTTTTCAGACGTGACCCTTTCTGAGAATTAAAACTCTTATAACTCATTGAAGCATGATTATCCTCATTAACCTTTTTAAAGCATGAGCAATAATTAGACTCGTTAAGTAAACTTGTTCAAAGACTGGAAATTTAATGAGGGAGTTCAAGTCATTTTTCCGTAGTCGAACATCACTGAGAACGCATTACCTCAGGACTTAATTCGCATTCAAAATTACGCAGTGCATAAAAATTTCTTTACGGTGATTCAGTTTGTTGAAATTTGAAACTTTATGCGCAAAAATATGTTTGAATAAAAGGTCTAATGATTAAATTAATGTAAGAAAGAAACAAGAGCTATAGGATGTTTGCTGGTACTATTGAAGTTTCTTTTCTGCGTAAACGGGAAATTGAGCTGAAAATTCTTATATTCAACCACCAACTGTAGAGACTTTCTTCGATCAGGTCCAAATAACTGAAGCAATATTAACGTATTTATTCCACTCTTCAATATTCAGTCAAGAGGCGCCAGGTTAATGAGAACTAGCGCTTATAGCGCATCAATTCAAGAGTCGCCAGGTTAATGAGAACTAAAGCTTATAGCGCATCAATTCAAGAGGCGCCAGGTTAATGATAACTAGACCTTATAGCGCATTAATTCAAGAGGCGCCAGGTTAATGAGAACTAGCGCTTATAGCGCATTAATTCAAGAGGCGCCAGGTTAATGAGAACTAGACCTTATAGCGCATTAATTCAAGAGGCGCCAGGTTAATGAGAACTAGACCTTATAGCGCATCAATTCAAGAGGCGTCGCGTCGTCCCTCTTTTGCCTCGCTTGAAAGTTTTAATTAAATTAGGGTTTTCTAAGAGCCTCACAACGCCTGATAAGCTGTCTCATAAAAATATGCAAGTCACTGCAGAAGTTAAAGCGCCAACATGCAAACATGTTCCTCTTGAAATTTATAGCCGTCGCATGAGCGGCTAGAGGTCGGCCCATGCAGCCAGAAAAATTAATGGGTCTTGTTGTCGCATCGAAACAGTTTCTGTACGTAGCACTGATACGGTGATTTCATTATTTTTAGTTCTTTGTAAACTTTCGACTTAAATAGAATAATTCTATTAATACTAAATTATATTATCATATCATTATTTGGATAACTATATTATAATTTGCCAGGCTAAAGCGGGTCAGGATGACCCACATAAGGGCGAAAATTGCACTGATATCTAAACAATGTTTTACCCATTTATAAGATATTTATCGATTATTTTCATAACAACTTTGTACTTCACGATCAGTTATTCGATCAAACATTTTGATTATATAAAAAATAGCAATCAGCAACTAATAAAAGTTTATTAATTAATCGCTGATTTTTAACAATTCTTTCCATAATCACAGACTATTTAATAGTAAAAATTCTTTTTATTTTGTAACTTGTTTTATTTATATGCGTACTATTGATATTTACCAAAAATTTTTTATTAACTTTGTGCAAAATTTATTAGGATTATTAAAGATATTCATTTTTAATCTAACAGCATCGATTAATTTACGTCGAAAATAAAATTCAGCTAACTTCCATTATAGGTACTGCAGCTGGCACTGCAGCTGGCACTGCAGCTGGCACTGCAGCTGGCACTGCAGCTGGCACTGCAGCTGGCACTGCTGCTGGCACTGCATATACGTCCATTAATTGATTCCAGTTTATTGGATCTTTGACGGTCATTATAGGTTCTTTGACCATTGCAATAGTTTAAAAAATTAATTTTTATTACCTTCTCCATTACTAATCTCCCATTTACTTCCGTCTACTAATCACCTTTTCCATTACCATAGCGATATCACCCCTTATCGCTTCCATTCTTTCCATTATTATCGCAATATGGTAATCCATTATATATAGTATAATGTGGCAATCCATATTATATATATCTCCATTACCGTCCATTTCCACAGCAATACCGGCCATTACCGCAGGGTTATGACGTGAGAAAGCTTCTCTCGGGTCACAGTATCGAGCGCTCTAGGAAGCTGCACTCATGCAAATTTATGGCTCATATTGTCCATATAATAACCCACTCCCTTACCCGCGGCTCGAGCGGAGAGCGGACGAAGCACTGATAGGCATTTATGCAAAGTCTCGTTGCAGAGGCAAAAAGTATATCGATACTCGGACAAAGTCTCACTTATTTTTCTGGGAGAGAGGCAGTCCGCCAGACGCAGCCTGCGTCAGCGCGGCAATAAAACTGATATAGCACCCGCCTCAGGCGACTGATATAACGCCCGCCTCAGACGACTGATATAGCGCCCGCCTCAGACGACTGATATAGCGCCAGCCTCAGACGACTGATATAGCGCCCGCCTCAGACGACTGATATAGCGCCCGCCTCAGGCGACTGATATAGCGCCCGCCTCAGGCGACTGATATAGCGCCCGCCTCAGACGACTGATATAGCGCCCGCCTAAGACGACTGATATAGCGCCCGCGTCGGACGACTGATATACCGCCCGCCTCACACGACTGATATAGCGCTCGCCTCAGACGACTGATATAGCACCCGACTCAGACGACTGATATAGCGCCCGCGTCAGACGACTGATATAGCGCCCGCCTCTGACGACTGATATAGCACCCGCCTCAGACGACTGATATAGCACCCACCTCAGACGACTGATATAGCACCCACCTCAGACGACTGATATAGCGCCCGCCTCAGACGACTGATATAGCGCTTGTCTCAGGCGACTGATATAGCGCCCGCCTCAGACGACTGATATAGCGCCCGCCTCAGACGACTGATATAGCGCTTGCCTCAGACGACTGGTATAGCGCCCGCCGCAGGCGACTGATATTGCACCAGCCTCAGGCGTCCAATAGAACAACATTATTTATTTTTGAAATTGCATGATAACAAATCAAATTATCTATCGTTAAAATATCATAATGAAAGAACAGATAATCATTATCTTATTATATATTGCTGGGTTTTCAAAATATCGGGTGAAATAATTATCATTATTAGAGCAGACTGGATCATCAGACTACACTGAGAGAAAAGAGTGGGTTTGGATGATGACCTAGATGCGCCAACCGCGTCTAAATGACGATGCACTTTTTTGACTCACTTGCCCCATTTGTGGGTCATGCTGACCTTATACTGGCCCCTTAAATTTCAGGTATGACTCACTTGTGGCGCTAATGACTGTAGCGCCCAGACGCTACAGACGTATCCATGCTAAGGGTGTGAAGTGAGTCATACCTGAAATTTAAAGGGTCAGTGTGTCCCACAAATGGGGCAAGTGAGTCAAAAAAGTGCATCGCTTTTTAGACGCGGTTGACTCATCTAAGTGGGTCATCCAGACCCACCTATTCCTCTCAGTGTAGGTCATGGTGAATATAATGACCTAAATGGTAGCTCGCACTCGTTATATCCATGTTGCAGTTAAGAATAATTGATGGTTAGCAGCATTGATCAATACGTGTTAATGGTTATACTCAGTTTCGATATTGAAAGAATTACTTTTAACTAATTTATATTGTGTAGCTAGGCAGAAGTTATTCTTTTAATACATTTTATTTAAAACCAGTGAATAATTCTTGCATGTTCACAATATTTCATTTGCTCATTTCTCATTTTTTGTATGATTTTTTCGGGATTTTTTGTATTTCGTGACTTTATGTCTGATTTGAGGGCTCTAAAAGACAGCTTAGTATAATATTACGACGAACCAATATTTATTAAAATTAAAAATTAACATCAGAGGGTTCCATTTACAACGCTGGTCTGCGTCGTTGCAAGGGTTTACGCTCAAGAAAACTAACAGTTCATGTTGTCATATATTAATGACTTACTTTGAATCAACGCGCGCAAAATGAGCGTACATGTTGCCAATTTGACCTCTTCTGGACAAAACTGAGTCAGGACAACTCGCACGAAGGCAAAAAAGGCATTGTTTTCTGGATGGTCTCTCTCATTTTTCTGAGTGTAGGTACGAATACAA